TCAGTCCTGGCGGCGGTCCTTCTGCGGGTGCTGCTGGTGCTGCTGGAGCTACTGGAGCTGGAGGTGCTGTTGACGCTGGTGCTGCCGCTGGGGGTGCTGGTGCTGTCCCTGCTGTGTCTGGAGTCCCCGCGCGGCCTCGGCCGTACTTTGTTCCGCTCCTTCAGCAGGTTCTTGGTCTTCCTCCTCCCTTAGAGTGTCCACCGCTTGTCCAGTCGCAGTCACAGTTACCGCCGGCCTCCCCTCTGCCTTCTCCTTCTCCGTACACTGGTCCTACTGGAGGTCTTGCTGAGCGTCGTGAGCCTGCGTCTCGTCCTGCGTTGCCTGTTCGTGCTGCTTGCACTAGTGGTCGCAGTTCGCGTCAACGTCCTCCTCCTGTCCCTGGCACGCACCGGATGTCTCTGCGTCCGTCCACTGCTCCTCTGCGTGCCCCTTTGCCCTCTCCTCCTGAGTCCTCTCTTCCTGTGCTTGCCGACCCTGAGTCGGACTCTCTTCGTGCTGCCAGTCCTACTGTCACGCGTCTCCTTGCTACTGTCGTCAATGACCCCTCCTTTGAGTCCACTGCTGCGTCTGCTCTTGTTGCTGAGCTCGTCGACTTTGCTGCTCGCTGTCGTCTAGACTCCGCTGCTAGTCTTGTTGCTGAGTCTGCGTCTGTCTGTCCTCCGTCCGCCGTTCTACATCCTCGTGTACCTCTCTGCCACCGTTCTACATCCTCGTGTACGTCGACGACTTGGTCTTTGCCACAGCTGACACTGCTGGACTCGCCCACGTGAAGTCCGAGATGCAGAAGAGACACACGTGCACAGACCTGGGTGAACTGCACAGCTACCTTGGCTTGCAGATCACCCGGGACAGAGCACGCCGCACCATTACCTTGACTCAGTCACACATGGTGCAGCAGGTCCTTAAGCGCTTCGGCTTCACGTACTCCTCGCCTCAGGCCACTCCTCTGTCTACTCGCCACTCGCTCTCAGCTCTGCCTTCGGATGAGTCCGTAGAGTCGAGTGGCCCGTACCCAGAGCTTGTTGGCTGCCTCATGTACCTAATGACCTGCACACGACCTGACCTTGCATACCCTCTTAGCATTCTTGCACGCTATGTTGCTCCTCGGAGACACAGACCAGAGCACATGGCTGCAGCGAAGAGGGTGTTGCGCTACTTGTGCAGTACGTCGGGCATGGGGCTAGTGCTTGGAGGGCGGAGTCCAGTGGTCCTCACTGGGCACGCGGATGCTTCTTGGGCAGACGACAAGGCTACGCAGCGGTCGTCATAGGGTTACACCTTCAACCTTAGTTCCGGCTCTGTTTCGTGGCGGGCTACTCGCTCGTCTTCTGTTCTCGGCTCCAGTTGTGAGGCTGAGATCTACGCCGGGGCCATGGCTGCACAGGAGCTTCGCTGGCTTACCTACCTGTTGAGTGACCTTGGAGAGCCGCCTCGTTCTCCTCCGGTGCTGTACGTAGACAACAAGGCCATGCTAGCCTTGTGTCGGGAGAAGCGCCTGGAGCACAGAACGAAGCACATTGCTCTCCGCTACTTTCTTGCTCGTGAGTTGCAGCAGCGTGGTCAGTTGCGCCTTGCGTACGTGGCCTCTGAGGCCAACACTGCTGATGTTTTCACCAAGGCACTTGCGCCTTGTGATCATCAGCGCTTCTGCACTCAGGTGGTTCTTGTGCCTGTCTTGCCTCACTTGCTCACCCCTTGACCTTGCTTGTACTCTTACATAAATACATATATACCTGCTCTTGCTTGTTTAGCCTTATATATATATGTGTACTCCTGCATGTGAACTGGCCTTGTGGCCTTGACCTTGTGCTCGGACTGTGTGGTGACGTTGTGATCCACCCTGAGCTTTGTCTGCTTTGCTTGACTGGTCTTGTGACCCCTTGTTCTCCCCCACTTTGCCTATGGGGGTGTGTCAAATTATAATATTGTGTAGGCTATAGTGGGGTAGCCCATATGGGGTACACATTTCTAGGGTTGCATATTTGTATCACTTCCATTCCTTAGTCATTCATTCTCGTTCTACTTTCCTCACATTGATGTGGGTTGGGGTACATATAACAAACCCTAACATCTGTACCCCCTAAGACAAACCTCACTACAGGCTACAACATTTGACACACCCCCATAGCCTAAGTGAGGGGTGTCAAGCAAAACCAAAAGTGTACGGTCACAAGACCAGTCACAAAGAAACAAAGCTCAGGGTGGATCACAACGACACCACACTCTCTGAGCACAAGCAACAGGGGCCACAAGGCTAGTTAGAGAGTTCACAAGTGTGTATAGCAAGAGTACAAGCAAAGCAAACAGTAGACTCAAGCCTACACACGACTAGAAACTGTGTCAACAAGGCCGAACTGCACACAACACATCTGGTGGTCACAAGGGGGAAGCGCCTTGGTGAAGATGTCTGCAGTTTTGGCCTCGGACTCCAAAAACTCGAAGCGAGCCTGTCCACGTCTCTGCAACTCTCGTAGAAGAAAGTACCTGATGTTAATGTGCTTCACTCTGCTCTCTAGTCGCGGCTCTCGATAAAGGAGAATTGACGCCTTGTTGTCAGTGAACAAGGTCGGTGCAGAGCTCGGCCGCTCACCAAGGTCGGCGAGCAAGAAGGTCAACCAACGCAGCTCCTGTGCCGCCATGGCACCAGCGTAGATCTCAGCCTCAGCTGTAGAGGTCGAGACCGAAGAGGAGTGCGTGGACCGCCACGAAACAGCTCCAGAACCCAAGCTAAAACAGTACCCTTGAGTAGACCTATGAGTCTCAGCGGCGTCAGCGTAAGAAGAGTCACATTGACCATTAAGTACGACAGGCTGCTGCCCTCTAAGAACTAGCCACACGCCTGATGTCGTCGCTAGGTACTTTGCCACCCTCACAGCTGCCGTCCAGTGAACAGGACGGTGTCTCCCTGGCGCAACAAAGCGAGCAAGGATGCTGAGAGGGAAGGCGAGGTCCGGGTGAGTGCAAGTCATCAGGTACATGAGGCAGCCCACCAGCTCTGCGTAGGGACCACTAGACTCAAACGGCTCGTCAAGAAAGGGTCCAATAAGTCTGTGGTCAACAGCAAGAGGTGTGCGCTGTACTGTGGAGTGCTGAAGCTCGAACTGCTGAAGGACCTGCTGCACCATGTGTGACTGTGAGAGTGTAATGGTGCGAGCAGCTCTGTCCCTGGTGATCTGCAGGCCAAGGTAGTGGCGCAGCTCACCAAGGTCAGTGCACGTGTGTCTCTTCTGCAGTTCGGACTTCACGTCTGCCAAGGCAACCCTGTCAGCAGTGGCGAAAACCAGGTCGTCGACGTAGACCAGAATAAAGAACGATGTGGGGCCACGACGATCGAACAGCGACGGGTTGGTAGAAGACGGCTGTAACCCAAGGTCAGAGAGGGTAGAACCAAGAGTATCGTGCCACTCACGAGGAGCCTGACGAAGACCGTAGACAGGTCGCCTCAGCCTCCACTGGGTCCCAGGAGGGAAAGTGTCAGTGAAGGCAGAGGGACAACGCACCCAGACCTCCTCGTATAAGCTACCCTGAAGGAGAGCAGTGGAGAAGTTGAGAGAGTGTAACTCGTAGTCTCTCTGTGCTGCTACGTGTAGTAACACCCGAAGAGTGGTCATCTTCGGGGTGGGCGCGAAGGTCTGAAAGAAGTCAACTCCCTCGCGCTGTCTGAAACCTCTAGCCACGTAGCGCGCCTTGAAGACCGGAGGAGATCCCGATGGCCGCTTCACCCTGTAGATCCACATGCTATCATAGGTGCTTGTGGATCGATAGGAGGCCATCTCTGCGTCCATGGCAGCTCTCCACTGAGAGGCCCAAGGCCCTGACACTGCCTCAGCGTAAGTGCCAGGAGTCGGTATGTCAAGCGCGTTAGGGTTTTTTCAGGGGCGAGTAGCATGGCACAGAGATGTGGGGAAGCGGCTGCCAGGAACTCTAGCTCAAACTGCCTGTCCTCTAGGGCGTCACAGCCAAGGGCAGACTCACCCCCGGCGGCCAGAGGAGTGGTAGGAGGAGCAGCCACAAGACCGGTGGCGTAGTCAAGGCGGCGAGTGGAGGCAAACTCAGTGACTGCGGCAGTAAGGGTGGAGACAGAGGAGACAGAGGCACGAGGGTCGGTAACAAGAGAGGCGAGAACACGAGAGAGAACAGGATGGTACGTGCGGTAGTAATCAGTGACAGGAGTAGAGAGAGAAGAAGTGAAGGCCGACTCAGGAGGAGACGGAAGGAGAGACGGAGACGAACGAGGCGGACTAGAACGAAAGAGGGCAATACGAAGGTCAGTAATGAGAGCAGAAGACGAGGGACGAGCACGAGGGGAGCGACGAGAGGCCCAAGTCTGAGAAGGAGGAGGGGACAACGGAGGCTAAGAACGAGGGGAAATAGCCGGGGAGGGGTCAGGAGGAGGAAGTGGAGGACCCGAGATGGGAGGAGAGGGGGAGGAGGAAGGAGAGCGGGAGGGGAGACCGAGGGCCCGAAGTCTGGAGACAGGGAGGAGGAGGCGGCGGCTGCTGCTGCTGCTACGGCGGCGGCGGCGGCGGCTGCTGCTGCTCCTCTTGCTGCTGTAGCGGCTCCAGCTGCTGCTGCTGCTCCTCCAGCCGCTGCAACTCTCTGTCCTCTCTCTCCAACTCCAGCTGCTCCTCACGGGCACGGCGAACACGAGCTTGGTGCCGGGTCGGGTAGGGGTGGGGGGGAGGAGTAGTGCCGGGGGTTGCGGCAGCCCCGGGACCGCCCTCCAAAGCACCTGGCGCACCACCCCCAGATTCAGCACCACCAACAGCAACACGACCAGGCTCACCAGGACCCGAAGAGGGTGCACCCGCACCCCCAGACGTAACAACCCCAAAGTCAGCAGGACCAACACCAGCTTTCGGAAGACAAGAGTTTCCTGCAACCACAGGCTCAGCTCCAACTCCAGCACCCCCAGAGCTAGCACCTGTAGGGCCCTCTCCACGTGCCCCGGCTCCCACAGGGTCTGCAGCAGGCTGCGAGGAGGACTGCGGGGAAGGAGGCTACACCTGAGGGGATACCGAGGGGGGAGGGGTAGCCTGGGACACACCTGACGGGGCGGGACCAGGGGGGGGAGGCTGTACCGCGGGAGCAGGAGGGGGAGCGGAAGTCAGGAAGAGAGGGGGAGGAGGAACCGGGAGACCTCGACTGGGGTACCTGGCGTAGTAGGCCGTGGACTCCTCAAAACGGACGTCACGGGAGTCAAAGAACCGGTGAGAGGGAGGGTGGTAAAAGGTGAAGTCAGAGGAGTCCTCAAGGAAACCAAGGAAGATACAGGGAACGGCGTGAGGCGAGAGCTTGTCCGCGGAAGTGTCGCGGACAAGAGCCAAGCAACCCCAGACACGAAACCTCGACGCAACACCAGGGGACCAGGTCCAAAGACTGGTCGGTGAAGACTCTGGCCGAGAGACGCGTGGCCAGAGGTTCAGCTGGTGAGCGGCGTACCTAACCGCGTAGGGCCACAGAAAATGGGGGGCACGGGCGTGAGTCAAGGAGGTGCGGGCAATCTCCATGACCAAGCCTATGCGGCGCTCAGCAACCCCATTCTACTGTGGGGACTCCGGAAGCGTCCAGGACTGACGAATGCCCTGCTCGCGACAGAATCCAGCGAGAATGCCGGAGCGAAACTCACCCCCACGGTCAGAGTGAAGACAGCTGACACGACGACCACGAGTGCCCTCAGTGGCAAGCAACCACCTGATCAGTGTAGAAGTCACCTCAGACTTCTTTGTTAGGGGGAACACTGTGGTGTAGCGGGAGTAGTCGTCAACGACCACCAGAAAGAAACGCTCACGCTCAGGGCCAAGGCAAGGGGCGGGGCGGGGCCCCAGACGTCCAAGTGGAGCGTCTCAAAAGGCTTGGTGGCCGGACGAAGGGAGGAGGAGTGAGGGGTGGCGCACAGCCGGCCCTCGACGCAGGGACCGCACGGCGGTGCAAGTGAAGGCGGCAACGACGGCAATACACGCGGGAGGCCTAAGACAAGACGCTGACGAGACATAGCACGCAGACGAGGGAGGGACGGGTGCCCCGTCCGGTGGTGCCACAGAACGGTGGGGTGTGCAAGCGAGCGGCAGGAGCACGACGCAGCAACTGGACCAGACACAGCTACCTGGGGGGACGCAGCAACCTGGTGAGACGTAGGGACCAGACTGGGGGAAGTAATCGGGGCCGGGGGCAGGAGTTGCTGCTGCTCCTGGTGCTGCTGCTGCCGCTGCTGGTGCTGCTGCTGCTGTTGCTACTGCTGCTGCCGCTGCTACTGCTGCTGCTGCTGCTGCCCATCAGGGCCAGTGTGAAGTGTGTGGAGACCAGAGCCCGGCTCGGCAGTAAAGGTGGCAAGAGGCGAGTAAGTGTCGCCGTCAACACAAACAGCCGTCTCACCAGAGGGCTCAATCCACACACCCACGTGCTGACTCACAAGAGGCCTCACGCCCACCAAGTTCCTCGAGAACGAGGGGACGTGGAAGCCAGCTAGAGACGCGGAGGGAACAGCAGGGCAAGGAAGAGTAGTAGTGTAGCGAGCAGTGACTGGTCCCGAGGTGGGATCAGCCAAGGCCACAGAGACTGGCGCAGGAAGTGGAATATGTGTCATGTGGTCGCGGAAGAAGCAGTGCGAAGCCCCAGAGTCCAAAGTTAAAGATAGCAAAGCGTCCTCCGAAGTAGCGCCTGGACTAGTGTCTACACAAGTGCCTACACTAGCAACAAGCAACTCAGCAAGACTAGCACCTAAGCTAACAACACACGAGTAAACAGAGTTAGAAGCACTAGAATCAACAACAGCATACATAGCATGAGGAGTTCCTAAGAGATCAAGCAACTGAGAAGCAGACATGCCCCAAAGAGCGGAGCCGTACGTCTGAACAAGAGGTAACCAGTCAGGGGCAGGGCCGCCAACGCCGAAGGCCAAGTGAACCGTGTCAGTGAGCTGAGCAAAGCACTGACCAGGAGGGTGGGTGCGACCACAAGGCTGGCCTCGGCGAGCACCTGTCAGAACCTGATAGGTGCACGAAGGGTGAACAACACCTCGCTGGGGCGGACGCTGTGCCAGCCTCGAAACCCGCTGCTTCTGCTGCTGCTGCGGGGGCTGCTGCAAGGGGAGGGGCTGCTGCTGCTGCACCTGCTGCTGCCGCTGGGCCAGGTACCACGCCGCTGCTCCACCCACCGCGGCCCGCAGACCAGGAGGAGGCTGGCGAGTCCGGGTGTCGCCTCCACCAGCTGCTGTAGGGGAGTCGCTGGCCGCTGCACGAGACGCCTCTCCAGGCCATGCGCTCCCGCTGCCACCGGTCGGCACGCCACCCCCACCACCTCCGCCGCCAACGCCGCCGCCGCCGCCTGCACCCTGACCGCCCCTCCTACCACCCCTACCTCGAGACCGCGACGTAGTCGTAACAGCAGCTGCGGTCACGTCAGTAGTGACAGTGGCTAGCGAGGCAGTAAAAGTGGGCAGCTGAGGGACAGTGCACCCGTGAAACAGTGGAGGGGGCACAGCACAAGAGGCGGAGGCTACGAAGCAGACGTTGCTCTCGACGTCCTTTAGCGCAGACTCAAGGACCTCGATAGTGAGCTCACTAGGGTGCTTCAGAAGAAGCGTATCACGAATTGAGGCAAGACGATCAGGGAGGCTAGTGGCAATGAAGTAGATAGTAATCGCCATAGGCGAGGTCAGGGAACAAGAACGGTAGGAAGAGGCGGCCAAGGGAGACAGTGGTGGGAGTAGCGTAGCGGGCCTTGATCGCAGTCAGGAACTCACTAGCAATGCGAACCTGAGTGAAGTGGGCCTCCTTAGACTCAGGAAGGAGGCTGCTAAGAGCGATGCAGGCCGCAGCGTCACGCGACTTCCACGCCGTCAGGTCAGCACGCTGGCGGGTAAAGCGGTCTCTGGCAGCGTCGTCAGGGGCAGGGCCTAAAGGCGTAGGGTCGTCGGGCGCAGGAAGGTCACCAGTAGCGTGCGCCCAGAGGGACTCGCCCGTCTGGACCTGACTCTCTAGAAGGCGACGCGTGCGTAGGAGGTAGACCAGAAACTCGAGCGGTCTACCGTCTGCGTCAAAACAAAGAACCCTAGGGGTCGCCATAGCAAAAGCAAAGAGGTGGGAAGTGCTGCTGCTAAAACCCTAATCAGTGAGAGCGACTCAGTAGGGCGCAAGGGCACGAGAGCGACGTAACGGCAGGCGCAGCGGGCGCGAGGGCACGAGAGCGACGTAACGGCAGGCGACATAGGCGCTAGGGGACAGTACGAGCGTAAAGGGCACTAGGGTACAGGACAGGCTCGGGCGCTACGGACGTGAACGAGAGGAACGGGATCCCACAGGATCCTAACCTAGGTGATACTATGTTAAGAATGAAAGTGTTGGTCCATTGCAGGCCCTACGATATCAGGAATTTTACCCTGAAATTCCTGATTTTCAGGGTTTTTTTTTTACCTACCCTGAAAATCCAGTGTTCAGCTTTTCCTAGGGCTGATTTTTCAGCCTTCACATGCCACATGACTCTGAACTTTCAGCAATTTTTTTGAACTGACACTGATGCCTTTACGTTGTAACGAGTTTGACCCTGAAAGCGAATCCTACTAGGTACGAGTGTACTTGACCAGAAGTACTGGGAAAATCAGATTCCCGCGGTGTCAGCAGGGCCTGTCGTTGACTATCGGACAATTTTGCCCACACTGATGGCCCCTTAGTTGGCGCGCCTGGTCCGTTCATTGGCCACATTTGCAACATTAAGTGACTTGACCAATTACAAGGTTGCAGCACAGAGATGCTGGCAGGCTGCGCTGCGAGGGATTCTGGCGGTCTAGGTCGTGCTGGCAAGCACTGATGCATCCACGCCTCCCAGCCGTGCTACCTGCCATCCAGCCTCACATCCCGTTCTGCTGTTTGCTTCCTTCCTAGTGTTTTTACTACTAGTAAAATAAAGACTACCGTACTAGTATCAGCCTTTTTCTGTAGGGAACACTGATGTATCAGACTTTTTTTTAAGTAACACTGAACTTTCAGGCTTTTTTTTTAGGCGACCCTGACGATCAGGGTCTAGGGGCAGAGGGACCCTGATACCCTTACGTGCCTAAAAGTGAATCTGAGGGCCTGGTTTATTGATGTGGGTTGGGGTACATATAACAAACCCTAACATCTGGACCCCCTAAGACAAACCTCACTACAGGCTACAACATTTGACACTCCCTCCCCGTCATGTTTTAAAAAACATGGACAATTTGGGTCGGGGGCTTTAGCAATGTACGGCAAAGTGCCCCATTACAACAACTACTCGGTACAAGTCTGTACTGCTACAAGACTACGTCAAATTTCTTCACATTCTATTTCCAATATGGTTCCTGCATTCAGTATTACTACCAATAAGGTACCGTAATCTCCCGGACAAAACACCCCCCCATGATAGTACACCCCCGGGTAGCTTGTGCGGGGTGGGTGCTATGGGCGACCTCGTTTCTACTATACCCCCCTTTTTGGATGATTTTCTATAACACCCCCCTTTTCTTACGGATTCCTATTATAGTTGTTATCGAGTCTGATTCCTTACAGGGGAATATCGCGAGAATTGCTTCCTAAATGAAATTTCGCGCGTACTTGCACTTAGAATCCGCCAACATTTCCCCCTCCCACAATCTCACTGTCGCCACCCTGGCGAATCTTTCGCTGCAAGTGGCCCGAAAGGTGAAACTCACATTCTTGCCAAAACTCACATTCTCGCCTCAAACTGTGATGTTAAAACGACCATTGAAACACCCAAACTGTCTACTTTGAGAATCCTCTTGCATTAAAATATACCATATATAACCACCCGGGTATTATATAGGATTTTCCGTTGAGAGGACCCCCCCCCTTTTTTCCCTGTGGTTATCATAATACCCCCGGGTGTTATGTCCGGGAGAATACGGTAGTACGAGTGCTACCGTATGTCGAATCTTGAGAGACGATCCAAATGCTTGTGCAAGGCTAATGCCTAATGTGCTTAGTGAGTTCCTGCTGTGTGTCAAATACAGCATACACAACGTTTCCACAACCAACACTTAGCTTCAGCAGGATTACGGTAGAAGAAGCATCTGAAATTACAGCATCACAAAAGCCACAGACCACACCAGCATCACAACCCACACCCGGCCCCACACACCCACACACGCAGCATCACCAAGCAACCAAAGGCACGCCCGGATCCACTACCAGCCCACCTAACCCTTTCACTCACACGCACCACCTAATCCCTCCACCCACACACACACACACACATATACCTCTCCCAGCATCACCAAGCCTGAATTATTCAGCAACCAATTCTGCACACCGTGCCACCTGTAAGCCACATCAGCAACCGCAGCAACAGCAGAGGAGGCACTAGTAGCAGCAGAAGCAGCGTTGTCTCCCGCTGCAGACCTCCACTCCGCAGTGCCTCTTCCCCTCCCCTCTCCCACTTAAATCATCGTTTTTGCGGTCTTGACGAACGAGCCAGCGCCCGCCTGCAGGGCACCCTTGGCGCCCTTGCCGCTGCGGAACGCGTTGACTGCAGCCGTGAGCGCCTCCTTGCCGCCCTTCTTCACCACATTCTTCACCAACCCTCCCGCCTTCTGCCCCGCCTCGCTCTTCGCCGCTTGATTCGCCGCGTTCTTGATCTTCTTCCAGCTCAGCAGCACCCGCACCGCCTCGTCCAGCCCGTCCGTCGCCTCCCCCACCTCCTCCTCCTCGCCACCCACGTCCACGTCACCGCCGCTCGCTTCCAGCAGCTTGCGGCCCCAACTCGCCGCGTCCACGCCTGCACTTCCACCAGCCACGTCACCCTGCAGTGGCGCAGCCGCGGCATAGAGCGCAGGGAGAGAGACGAGGACCAACGCGAGGATGAACGCGGAGCGAAGAGTGGCCATGGCAACGAGCGTTATAAGAGAGCGTGAAAGCGGTGTCGGATTCTAAGAGTAGCCCCGAGCGATGATGCGGATCAGATTCGGGTGATTTTCGAGCAGTGGGAGAAGTAACTCAGTTGGTGGTGGCGAATGGTGGAATGGCGGCGATTTAAGTATTGCGGCGAAGTACGAGGAGGAGGCGAGGGATCGTGAAGGGATTCGCAGCAGGCGATGAGGTGGAGAGAGCTGCAGAGGTGGTTCGCCATGGTCTCCTCTCAGCAGCTCGCCGTTATTGCCGCCGCACAACGCGCAACATGCGGAAAGGGCTTCTGGTGTCCACGCTAGCGCGTGCTACGGTAGAGTCCTACTCGAAGTTGAGTACTTGGTGTGAACGGCAGCGCGGCCGCAATAATGGCTGTAAATTGATTTCAAATATCAAACAAGTTACTCGCCCAATCTAACCCGATCTCGTCGTCCGATCGCCAAGGAAGTAAATTTCGAGAGCAGGGGGTGAGGCTAGGGTGGGGGGAAAGGAGTGCGCTCCCTGTACCGTAGCGGTAGTACCTCATCTCATTCCAGCAGCTCGCAGTTATTGCTCGCATCATGGCGCCGCACAACGCGCAAAGAGCGACTGCCGCGTGAGGCGTTGGGATGCAGCAACGCTGGTAACGAGAACGCACGCTGCTGTGCACATGGGTTTGAGAGCTAAGCGCAAGAGAGGAAAGCTCCGAGATCGATGGCAGTGCGGGAATAATGGCTCTCAGCGGGTACTTGTTTGTCGAGGGGAGGACGGATGGAGGGAGTGCTCGGGACTCGGGAGCGTGTTCGGTTTGGAGAAGGGCTGGTTTCCCAGCCAGCTCGATCCCAACGAAAGCAACCAGCCCAGCACCGTATCAGCGAATCGGTCGACGAGAAACGAAACGAGAAGTTACCTGGGCTTCGTTCGATGGCATTTTCTAGATGGATGCGTTTGAACACAGGAAGTTTTGATCGTTCGGCAAATTTACAAAAGTAACTGGTTATGCTTCTCGTCGAGCCGTTCGCCGACGCATCATCGAAGTGGCTGGTGTTCGACTAGAGCTAGTTCGCAAACAAGCCGTTCTCCCGCTGAACGCGCTCCCGAACACCCCTGCTTCGTCCCCTTCGAAAAACTCTTTCCCACCAGAAGCCATTATTGCCGCCGCTGGTCTCGGAGCTCTCTTGGCATTGAGCTCTCGACTCAAGTCCTCGTTGACCAGCGTGCCGCATCCAACGCCCCACGCGACAGTTTCTCTTTTTGCGCATTTTGCGGCGCCATGATGCGAACAATAATGAGAGAACTAGGTTACTGCGTACGACGGTACAGACGGCACTCTCCTCTCCTCTCCTCCCCACCCAACCCTCACCTTCTGCTCTCTAAAAAATCCCTTATTGGCGATCTGGCGAGGCGAGACCCTATGCCAGTGAGGCGATGAGTTGAATCAAGCCATTATTGCCGCGCTGCCGTCCAACTCGATTGCCTCTGCCACACCCCAGAAGTAGTACAGCTTTCTCCGGATGTTGCGCGTTTTGCGGCGGAGCCATGCCAGCAATAACCGCGCGATGCTGGGAGTGGGCCATGATGCTGGCGACCATCATGCTGGCGACCATCGTGCTGGCGACCATCATGCTGGCGACCATCGTGCTGGCGACCATCATGCTGGCGACCATCGTGCTGGCGACCATCATGCTGGCGACCATCATGCTGGCGACCATCATGCTGGCGACCATCGTGCTGGCGACCATCATGCTGGCGACCAACTGCAAATACCGAGTCCGCCACCCTCGCCTCCTCCTCCTCCTGGTCTTTCGCCGCTACTTAGTGCTTCTCTCAGTGCTCGTGTAACGCCTGTGGGGCTTACAGGTAAGGGTACGAGTGCATCCGCTGCGCCTCAAAATCAACCCTCGGTTTGACCCAGTGCGTAGCGAGGTGTTACAGCTCGAAAGTCACCCAAATCTGATCTTTATCGTCGTTCGCAGTGCTCTCTTCTATAATCCGACGCTTCTACGCTCTCTAAATCGCTCGTCACCATGGCCACTCTTCGCACCGTGTTCATCCTCGCCTTGGTCCTTGTCTCGCTCCCCGCACTCTATGCCGCGTCCGCGCCACTGCGAGGCGACGTCGCTGCTGGGGGAAGCGCGGGCGAGGACGCGGCGAGTTGGGGGCGCAAGCTGCTGGAAGCGAGCGGCGGTGACCTGGACGTGGGTGGCGAGGAGGAGGAGGTGGGGGAGGCGACGGACGGGCTGGACGAGGCGGTGCGGGTGCTGCTGAGCTGGAAGAAGATCAAGAATGCGGCGAATCAGGCGGCGAAGAGCGAGGCGGGGCAGAAGGCGGGAGGGTTGGTGAAGAATGTGGTGAAGAAGGGCGGCAAGGAGGCGCTCACGGCTGCAGTCAACGCGTTCCGCAGCGGCAAGGGCGCCAAGGGTGCCCTGCAGGCGGGCGCTGGCTCGTTCGTCAAGACCGCGAAAACGATGATCTAAGTGGGAGAGGGGAGATTGGAGGGGTGAGAGGCACGGCGGAGTGGAGTTGGGCAGCGGCAGGCAGGGCAGCAGCGCAGCTGGTATGGTGCCTGCTGCTGGTAGCAGCTCGGTGCAGTGGGGTTCTGCAGCGGCAGACAAGGCACTCCATAAGCTGCTGCTGCTGCTGCTGTTGCCTCCACTGCTGTCGGTGCTTTTGCCTGCTGCTGCGTTCCCTTCTGTCTGTTGCTGCTGATGTGGCTTGCAAGTGGCACGGTTTGCAAACTTGGTTGCTTTGTTCTGTCCTGGTGATGCTGCTGGGAGAGGTATGTGTGTGTGGGGGGGTGGAAGGGTTAGGTGGTGTGTGTGGGTGAAAGAGTTAGGTGGGCGTGTGTGCTGTAAGTGCATGGTTGGTAGCGGAACTGGGTGCTCCTTTGGTTCTTCTGTAATCGCAAATATGTCTGCTGCTACCATGCATTTGCTGAAGGCATTGAAAGTTAGGATGGGAACGTGAAAAGAATCTTGGTGTTCTGAATCTGAAATTGTCATACATCACGCACTCACCACACACCCAGGCAGTCACCACACACATCAGACACTCGCCACACGCACTGCGCACTCACCGTAGGGAAGGCGAAGCTAACCATGATGCTGCAGCTCTCGAGCAAGAAAGTAGCGAAGAGCAATGTGCTTCATTCTGAGCTCCAGCCTCTGCTCATGACACAAGGCAAGCATCGCTTTGTTGTTGACGTACACAACTGGAGGAGAACGAGTCCGCTCCCCCAAGCCGGTCAGCAGATAGGTCAGCCAGCGTAGCTCCTATGCAGCCATAGCCCCAACGTAGATCTCATCCTCATAGCTGGAACCAAGTATAGAAGACGAACGAGTAGATCTCCATGAGAGAGTACCAGAGCCAAGACTGAAGGTGTAACCCTGTGACGACCGCTGAATCGCCTGGTCATCGGCCCAGGAAGCGTGTGAGTGACCTATGAGTGCCACTAATTCGCGTCCTCCAAGCACAAGCCCCATGCCCGATGTACTGCACAAGTAACACAGTACCATCTTTGCACCATCCCAGTACACCTTTCCGTGTCTATCGGGAGCCACGTAGCGAGCTCAGGTCAGGTCGTGTGCACGTCATCAGGTACGTGAGGCAACACACAAGCTCTAGATACGGACCACTCGGCCCAACGTACTCGCCCGAAGGTGGAGCTGAGAGCGAGTGGCCTGTAGGCGGAGGAGTGGCTTGTAGGCAGAGGAGTGGGCTGTGGCGAGGACGACGTGAAGCCGAAGCGCTGAAGGACCTGGTGCACGATGTGTGACTATTCAGGGCGATGGTGCGCCATGCTCTGTCCCGGGTGATGTGCAAGCCAAGATAGCTCCAAAGCTCACCCAAGTCAATTCAGGTGTGTCTCTCCTGCAGTTTTGCTTTCACTAAGGTCAGTGCCTCAGTGTCAGTAGTAGCAAAATCCAAGTCGGCGATGTACACGAGAACATAGAACGGCGGCAAAGAAGTGCCTTGTTTGCCGCTGTAGAACCCCAACTGCACCAAGCTGCTACCACCACCACCACCACCACCACCAGCAGCAGCAGCAGATACCATACCATCTGCGCTGCTGCCCTGCCGAGCACTGCCCAACTCCACTCCGCCGTGCCTCTCACCCCTCCCATCTTCCATCTCCCCCTTAAATCATTGTTTTTGTGGTATTCACAAACGAGCCAGCGCCCGCCTGTAGGGCACCCTTTGTTAGAGACTAAGGACGAAGTCAATGAAGATTAGGAGCTTAAATTTCTCAAAATCGTTGGCTTGAAATTCTGGACAGAATCGTCGAGTTCACAAGAAACGTCGTCGGCTAAACTTGCACCGTTGGAATTGTCACAAACTCGAGTATGTTGTAGCATGTAACCAGTGCTATCTTTCCCAATTTGAATCGTATCAAATGGTGGAGTAAATCTCGAGTTTTGATTTTCGGCGCACTAGGGGGTATGCTGCCACATGCTTAACTCAATCACAATGGTTCTCACAAGTTCCACAAAGTTACACACAAGAGAGTTAGGGTAGCACTAAACCAGGTAGGAGGGAAGAGGAGGACGAGAGGGAAGGTCCCAAGAGATTCCCCAACCAAGGAAACCCCATGCCACACAATTCCCTTCCCCATAGGCAACCCCACTTTCACATTTGTCACTTTCCCAACTCATGCCATCCACCTCAACCCACTTGGCCACACTTGCCAACCTGGTTTGGCTTCACCCAACCACATGGCAGCATTCTACAGCGATGTGTTCGAATTCCCAACCCCCAAAAGTCTGTACCCCATATTGAGTCAACCCCACAACTTCCCATAGTCGCCACAACCGAAGTACAGAAAGCATACGAACTCCAACGTTCGTAACTTTCTTGATATTGCTCCGATCGCGACGATTCTTGGCTCGTCGGAAAGATCTTGAGCAGTGGAGTCACTTCAGATATCTGCTCAAGCCAAATAACATTCACACACACTCAGAAAATCCAAACCACAGAAAAACACAAATTCTTGCGCACGCTCATTTCACACATGCAACGCACGAACACATGATGGGAGGCAGACAGACGTGAATGCAAATGATAGCATCACATAACAAACTCCCCCTCTGGCTGCCAACCATCATCCCACATGCCATAGCTCAAGCATGCACCCTCAATGCACACTCATCCCAGCAAGCTTCATGCCCTTCCAATGCTCAGATTCAGCCAGGCGCTTGGTGAGAATGTCAGCCGCCTGCTGATGGGTCTTCACAATCTCCAGCCGCACCTCCTTGTCCAGGAGCCTTCTCACCCAGTGCCACTTAGGCCTGATGTGTTTGGTCAGCCCATGAAGACAAGCATTCTTCGCAAGCTTCACCGCCGACTCATTGTCACAGAAAATCACAGTCGGCTCCCTTTGACCAACCCAAATCTCCTCTAGCAAACGCCTCAGCCACACCACCTCCTTTGCCCCATGATGAAGGGCCATGTACTCTGTCTCACACGAGGACAGCCCCACCTCGTTCTGCTTCTTGCTGCGCCAGCTCACTGCACCACCTCCAAAGAGGCACACATAGCCTCCAATGCTGGTGCCATCCGTCTTCACTGAGTTGAAGCTAGCGTCGGTGTAGCAAGTCAAGCGCATCTCCCCCTTGCTCAAATCAGCTGCACCCCTCTGTAGCCTCTGTCGCACAGCACTGTACTCCAAACCCACTGATGCCGTTGCACTCACATAGCGGACCAACCTCTTGGCCGCTTCCAGCTGCTCATGACTGGGGCGTGAAACCACACTGGCAAGCCTGGATGTTGCAAAGGCAATGTCAGGCCGTGTGTGGTTAGCCGCATAGTTGAGTGCCCCCACCATGGAGTGAAACAGCTTCCTGTCACTCTCTCCCACCACCTCCTCATCAGCACAGGGCTCTACGGTGAACCCTGAAGGCAGTGGGGTGGCTGGCTTCCCTCCATCTCGCAGCCCATACTTCTCGGCCAGCCCCTCACAATACTTCCTCTGGTGCAACCTCAACACTCCCTTGTCAAGGTCCCTCTCCACATGCATCCCCAGGTAGTACTTCACGTCTCCCATCTTGGAGCACTTGAACTGCATTTCCAGCATCTCCTCCACACGCTCAATCATTGCAGACGACTCAGAGAAGAGCAGTATGTCGTCCACATACACCAGGAGCATGAGAAACTGCTCCTTCTCTTGCAGCAGGAACAAGCTGTGATCGCACTCACTCTTCTTGAACCCCCCAGCCAGCAGTGTCTTCTCCAGTTTGTGGTACCATGCACGAGGAGCCTGCTTCAGGCCATAGATGGCCTTCTTCAGCCTGCACACCCTGCCGCTCCCATCATCCAACCCCTCAGGCTGCAGCATGTACAGCTCCTCCAGAATGACTCCATTGAGGAAGGCGGTGGTAATGTCCAGCTGCTTTACCCGCCATCCACGGTATGCGGCCATCGCCAAAGACACTCTCAGTGTTGTGCCTTTTCCCACAGGAGCATAGAGCTCATCAAAATCCTTCCCCTTCGTCTGCTGGAACCCCTTAGCGACAAGCCTTGACTTGTAGCGCGTCAGCTCCCCATCAGGTCCATACTTGTGCTTGAAGATCAGCTTCGAAGAGATTGCCTTCTTCCCAGGAGGCAGCTCACACAGCTCCCACGTCTCATTCTCCAGCAGTGAGTCGTACTCCTCCTTCACACTCTGCTTCCACTTCTCAGCATCGGGCCCACTTAAGGCCTTGGTAAGCGTCTTGGGCTCAGGGACGGCTGCCCAGTAGCAGTGCGCTATCTCCTCCTCATCACACTGCTCAGCCACACTCCCAGCCCGTACCACCTTCGGCTTCCCAAAGCTCGGATAGGTCAGCCGGTTAGGAGGGCGCACATCCCTCTTAGGACGGTCAGCCGTACGTGCGGCACCTCGTGGAGCATCTTGCTGCTGCTGCTGCGGCTGCTGCTGCTGCTGCTGTTGCTCCACCACCTCGGGTTCTCCCCCATCCTCAGTCACCCCAGAGATCTCCTCCTCTGAGATGGCAACCTCCACTTGCCTCGAAGGCCGCTGCATCTCATCGGCCTCAACGATCAGCGGTGTCGTAGGAAGCTTCTGCTGCTGCTGCTTCCACTCCTTGTAGTACAAGGACTCCAGGAACTTCACGTCCCTTGACACAGTCAGCTGCTGGCTGGTCAAGTCCCATATGAGCCAGCCCTTGTGGTCCTTCGCAAGTCCCAAGTGCACACCCCATCTTCCAGAAGCTTCCAACTTTCCCCTCTTCTCCTTCGGCACATGAAACACCACCATGCAGCCGTAGGCTCTCAGCATGTTGACTGCTGGTGCACTCCCATACCACTTGGTGTAAGGCACCCACTGCTTGTCCCCCACAGTTGCGAGCACCCTGTTCTTCACCACAACGACCTGCCGTAGTGCAGTCACCCAAAACGGATCCGGCAGCCCTGCACGCCCAAGGAGAGTGCGAGCACCTTCCTGCAGGGTCCGGTTGAACCGCTCAGCCACGCCGTTCTGCTG